CTACTCCGCATTATAAGCCCTAGTATTGAGGATGCTCTGTTTTGAATTTGATATTATGGTCATTGAATGAAAGAGAAGAGTCTAAATATACACCCAAAATCTTTCACGAGATTGACTCGATCGAATTCAACACCCTTAAAAAAATACTTGTTTAATAAACATCACGCACGCTTTCTAGTAAAAGTAATAACTTTACATTTAGAAACATTCATGTACAATTTGTTTGTATCACACCAATCACTCACGTTATCAAGATCATTCTGAAGCAATTTAGTATAAAGTGCAATTTTAATAATACGGAATAGTTTAACATCATCAGCAAAGAGCAATATATTGGAATTTACGAGTAYATMCTTAATATCCTTAATATAAATATTAAAAAGAAGAGGAGCCAAATGAGAACCTTGAGGAACACCAGAGGTAATATTATACATATCATATGAGTTATAATTTTTAAATTTCACGTACTGATTCCGACTTGATAAAAAGGACACAAGCCAAGAAAAGAAAGGATCACGGTGACCTGATTGGAACAATTTTTTGGTGAAATGGTGAGTATACTATGATCAACTTTGCAGTCAAAGGCTTTTGCGAAGTTACTGAATATTACGTCCACTTGACAGTTTAATTTAAATGCATTTAAAATAAATTATTGCAAAACCAAAAGTTTAGATGTAGTGGATCTACTAGACATAAAGCCAAGCTGCTCGTCAATTATAAAATTTTTAAAGAGGGGGACTAATTTTCCTATAAACAACACCCTCGAATAACTTATAATCATAGCTTAATTATATTTATACATTAATATCTGTAACATGCATATGCTAATGACCTAGTTGTCGAAGCCTTATTCTTTAAAAAAAATAAAAATAATATCCTCTAATATTTTTGGGGTTATAGATATTATTATAGAGACAGGTCGATAATTAATGATTATATGGTTTATATCTCCGCTTTTAAAAACAGGGGAGACATGTTATACAATACTTTCCATTTATCCGGAAAGACTCCAGTGAAAAGAGAACGATTGAATGGTACCTATATTATTAGGGTGTTGACAAAACAAATTTATATTGCATAAAAAATATATTGGACATTTTGTCAGGACTAGAACAAGTTTTATAAATTATTTCATTGAGCGCATTATAGACATCGCCGAGAGTCAGCGTACATGAATTAAAATCAACAGGTGG